TCGAACTGTGTGTCTACGTCTTGAAGATATTCTCACGGGAATAGGCTTTACATTGTTATGAGTGACAATAGTTTCATTGGTATGCAAAACCGGTGATTCATTTAAGGTTGAAATCTGAATACAATTGTTTAAATTTGCTTTCTTTCCCGAAATAAATTTAGGCAAAACCTTGTTTCTTCTAGATATTCTGACTGGAATATTATAGCAATTCACTCCATACATACCACAACCAAACTCCATGCATCGATGGTCTCGTAAGTTCATATACAAGCTGAGCCACTGTCTGCAAACACCACAAATTTCAGTACAATGTTTGAGCTGCAAACTAATATCAGCCGTGGGCAGACCAGAAGCCAGTGAGTTAGACGATCTAATGGACAAAGGTTCTTTCCCTGTAAATGACCGTAAGTCAATATTTGCGCACCTCGCCGAACGAGGACCAGGATGCAAGTTGACATCACAACACAGAGCAAAATATGCCGGTAGAGCAACATTATTATCGAAAGGTAAACTCACAACGGTCGATCCATGCTTGCTATATTTCACAACTGGAGTTCTCAAACACGCCGATCTGCAGCCAGAGGACACTAACTTTGGCTTAAATTGCAAACGTAAACATCCAACCTCGTATTTAGCGACAGTGTTTGTGTCAAAAATACAAAATATACAATACACTAATATCCAAGAGCGAAGGGCATACAACACACGACCCGACTTGCTCAATGAACAATTGCATCAACTTACAAGCGAATTCCTCAACATAATGTATGCAAATATGCTTTTTCCCACAATAACACTTCCAACTAGAATTAGTTGGCATTCAGCCACTTTAATTGACAATATATTTACAAACGATCTGGATAATTATGCTTTTAGTGGCTTGCTTCTTTCAGATATATCTGATCATTTACCTACCCCCAGCATATTTAATAAGAAATTTGAGGGAAAGGATGAAGCATCATACTTCCTATATCACGATAAAAGTTCAAAAAATGTTACCGAATTTTGTAATTGTCTATCTCAAATCAATTGGTTTGATCTTGATGATATCAGTGATCCAGTTAAGGCCTATTCTAGTTTTTTTAATGAATTTAGTAAAACATATATCAATTGTTTCCCTCTTAAGAAAATTAAAAGTGGGAGGTCCAAGATTAGTAAACCCTGGCTTTCTAAGGGCCTTTTATATTCAATTAAGAAAAAAAATCGTCTATATATAAAGTGATATTTGAGCTCTCCAAATATTGCCATGGAAACTAAGTACAAAAGGTATAGAAATAAATTAAATCATTCTTTGCGATTAGCCAAGCGTTTATATTATGAACAGCAATTAGAGCGTAATAAGTCAAATTGTAAAAAAACGTGGAATATCTTGAATGAAATTATCAATAAACGTAAACAAACAAGTAAACTCCCATCTACATTTATAATTAATAATGTTGATTGTTCAGATCCAATTTCAATAGCCAATAATTTTTCCAAATATTTTTCAACCTTAGGGTCTAATCCAGCTAGCAAGATTCCACAGGTTCCTGTTCCCCCAAATTCGTTTCTTTCTGGCGAGTTTGTAGATAGTATGTTTTTTGATCTAACGACCCAGCAAGCAAGAGATAACGGAAATCGTAAATTCTTTTAGGAACGGTGTGGCCTCTGGCTATGACAATTTACCTGTGTGTTATTAACTCAATTCGATCCGCCAATATTAATTTCCGACGTATATGACGGGAAGATTAAATATTAAAGAACTTCGCGAGTATTTGCAGTAGACATACGAAAATACCACCAAAAAATTCCGCTTGATCGATACTATATATTCAGAAATATTCATATAATTTTATTGTTTCTCGCTCAATTTCAAGCCAATTTCTTACCTTGAAATGATCAATGCGGTGAAATTTATGCAAATGACACATTATCAATTTTGCAGTTGCATTTTGAATGTTCCGCCTGATTCAAATGCTCGTCTTTTTGCTTCTTTTGCACGTATAATAATAACAAATATACCAAAAGAAGCGCCATCTTCCATTCTATAGCTCGGAGCAGTCTCGGGAAATTGCGAAATAATCTAAGCCTATTATGGCAATTCTCGTGATCGGAAAGTGTTCGGCCAACTTCGGACGGCAAATTCTTGGTAAAGCATTACAGTTTCCTGGTAAAAGACTGCAGGAATCACTTCCGGAGTGTTTGTTTACCCTAGATACGGATTTTGATTGGCTTAGGCAGAAAAACAAATCTTTTAGAGCAATTTTTCTGATTATCGCGCACGGGAACGCACGAGCGTTGAAATGTATTGTGTTGTAGTTTTGTTTGAATCGCATTCTGAAGACGTTTTTGGCTTTATTTTGCAAACTGATAGTGCTAGTAATGATGGAATGTCTTCGTATGAGGACAAGTATCTCAACCTGGCATTGGGAGTCGTGTCTGGAGTTTCAAGGCAAGTATTTGTATCATTTCTAGACAATTTCTATTTCAATGTTTTGCCGTTGCCATGGCGTTGTAAATTTATTTGTATTTAGTATAGCTTCACTAGTACGACCAAGTATGTCCTCATATCGCTTTTTGTGTTGAAATAATCGTTTCATACTGAAATTGACAAATATAAATGGTATTTATTTATATTGTTGACGAAAATTTATGGTGTTTTAGGCATAAAAATCTCTGATTCCTAGGCGAAGTAAAATGAGCCTTGAAGCACATGTTTGGTTGTTTGTTACATACATAATAGGCAAGTATTCATACTTATATCTTACTAGTTGGCTCTTATTATAATTTTATATGGCACCATGTCTATAAATGTTTTTATTCGCACTGATGAATATATTGATCCTGTTCCTATCTGCTGTTCCTGTTTCATAGCCTCAGGGAAGTAGAGTTCTGATGAGTCATGAGAACCCCACTCACCAGAGGGAAGGTAGGGGGATGAGCAGAGGTAGAGGGAAGCCCAGCCATTAGGACCTAAGGTTTCGAAAGCTTCCTGTCTAGCATCCCCACTAGGCCCCATAGTACATGACGGATATGATGATCCTGACGCCAGGAATGTTCTCCCAGATTTTGCTCCTCACTGACATGTCCAGGATCCATTTCGATCAACTGTGAGCTTGAGTTCATTCGGCTCAATGAACTGTGAGCTTGAGTTCATTCGACTCTTTTTTACTAAGGGAATGCTTCAGGAGGTAGTTTTTTGGCCATACCAATACATATGCCCACATACAAATAACTCAAAAGTTATCCCCATATACTAATAAAAAAGGGTCTTGCAGTCCACCAACCTTGAGAGGTTGATTGCCTTTTAGTATAATATGCAGGTTTGCTAAAGGTCGACAGTGAGATTGAAAATTATTGCAGTGTAGAAACCTTATATCATGGTCTGTGGGCAATAGACATAATTTCTCGGGTTAGGTACAAAGCGCTTATGGCGTTTGTGAATATGGTAGATCCTGTACTAAAGACTACAGCAATAAACTGCATCAACAACTGTACCAGCCATCACAGAATATTGTTGTTGCAGACAAACACACTGTCAAATCAAGAAATAGGTTGGGGGTTAGGCAGTTCATGAAAGCTAGATGACCTACTATGTGGGGAATAAATCTGTGGGTTGCTGCAGACAATCCTAATGGTTATATTGCGACTTTGAAATTTATACAGGAAGAAGTCCAGATATTCATCGCAACAGATTTGGGTATGACGTGGTGATCTGATATCAGTTTGGTTACAGTCTTAGGTCTTTTGTAGTACAATATAAAGGAACTATTTTCACCACATAATCCAATTATGTGCTTTGGGAAGCATTACTGCTTTAGCAAACATTACTGCCTTGGAAAACATTACTTTTTTATAACTACTAATTATGATGATGCCAGCCCAACAACACTTGGTCATGCTATTTGCAAATATTTTCATGTTCTAGATTGTGAAAACAATCAATTTCTAAACAAATGAGTAGTGATTATTTCAAATTTGAATAGCATGACCAAATTTTGAGGCTGGTTATGACACTAATAACTAAAGTCAATGGTGTAATGATTATCTAAGAATGTATGTAGTAATTGTAGAAATAAAGACATTTTGCTAATCATGATTTGAGTGTTCTTTTGTGGGTATCACAGACTTATTTTGGTGCCATACTATCTTTGGAGAGTAAGAAATATTGGAAATTTGTATTGATAACATGTTGCAGCAATAAAAAAGGACCTTTGATAAAGGTATTTGTTTCATGTGAGCACAAAATGTAAATTTTACTCCACTACCTAGTTTATATAAAAATTCAATAAAAATATTTCTATATATGCTACATGCATGAAACTTCGGGTACTTGTAGATCATAACCGTGTCTTTCAGTCATACTCATAAAATTTTTTGACATATTTGGAATTTGAACCGCTAAATACATTTATGCATAATTGCAACATTTTTTTATATCATAATTTATGCAAATTTATGCGAGTAAATCGTTAACCAAGCTCCGGATGAAATTGAAATTGGTATTGTTGGAAAGCGGAAGTCCTCCTCTTTCGAACGATGCAATTTCTGTTTCCGTGCGATGTATAATTTGAGAGATATAAGCGTTTGAAACAACACCGCTCGAAATTGGTACTTTTCGACCGGATGAGAATGAGTTAAGGAACCTTTACCCTGAATCTGAGGATTTCCTAACAACAGGATGTGAGAGCCCTGTACTTGAATGTACTATACAGTTATTGTCATATTTATGTAAGCAGGCATTAAATAGCGAAAAGAGTACTATACTTATTATATGCGAACTTAAAATCACATGTCTTGATGTTGTGTTCACGTAATAACCAAATCGTCACACAGTATAAAGGATTTATACAATATAATATATGCACCAGTCAGATCATTTAAGTCGTGATTTATATTACCCCTACAATACTACTCCTAAAAGGGCTGTAACAAAATACAACATATGTTTCCTTGTATATTGTTTCCTTGTATATCAATTCCCAAAAGTGAAATGTTACATCATGCACTTGCTCAAAAGAATGAAATGTCTGTCGTTCTCTGTAGGCCCGACTGAACAATCATTTCTGACCAACATAGAGGATATTGTGAACTCGGCTCTTGCAATTGACAAGCTTGTGAGTTACATCACAATTTCTGCAGCAGAAGATTACCTTCTGGGTAAAAAAATTGGGTTTTGTGAGGAGATAATTAAGGTAAAATAGCAAAAAGAGTACTATACTTACAGTTATTTAAACTAATTAAACCATCTATTCAAATATGGTACTGGCCAGCTCACTGCATGGTGTCAAAAGAATCGTTCTCATTTAAAAATTGAAAGTTTTTTCATGTTTATTACCTCAAGTCAAATTCTCAAGTCAAATTCATCCTCACCCGGTTTTAACTCTCCATATTAGGTTGGAACCCTGTCAGCGCAATAATTCAAGTGACCACGTATATAATAGGATGTTTCACAGAAAAGGACGCGAGTAGCAAGTGCTATCTAATGCTTTTTTTTCTTTAAAAGATAACTTTTACATTTTAGGCAAAGTAGAAATCAATGTTCCAACCTCGTACCCAGGCTCTTACCTTTGCACACCTGGGCGGAAAGACCCTGGTTGGGGCTGGTCGCATGACAATGGGAAAGACTTGACACCGTGGGAGGGGTGGTACAATTGGCATGAATATAGCGACTGATCTAGCTGTAAAAATTAATCACGCCAAGTTGAATAAATTGAAGTGTTTTTTGTTTCTCCATAGTCTAAATTTTGCGATAGTGAACACTTAAGGCAAAAGCAAGGTAAATGCATTGCAATGTAATCTTAAGGCAAAGCAGTGCAATGTAATCTTAATGCCAAGTCGTTTGTCTGGAGAAAGTATTTTTAGGATGGGATGTGCTTGCTGTTCTTCCTACGAGATATGGAAAGTCTCTAATATTTCATCTCTTGCCTTTGATACTTATGGCCAAGGAATGATTTGAAAACGTCTGAGAATGTTATTTTTGACACATACAGTCATTTAAATATAAACAAAGTGAAAAACAGTATAAAGTACTAGTAAAAGGTTATGCAAAACGGAATGCTTACGAGTTATGAGGGATGACACTTTTATTAGTAGTAATAATAATACAACAGGTTATTGTCAGGATCAACTGATGTGTGTATAAATAGTTTTTCTCCAATTGATTGAATAAAAAAATGTTGCGTTTAAATATATTGTATAAATCACAATTGTATAATGTATTACTTCCGTATTTGCGTCACTTTCAGCCAGTAGCATTGTATTGATCCTTTGCAATCTACTCAATTCATGACACCTTCGGAATATTATTATGCTGTAAATCAGGGACAATGGCACAATCTTTTTCTCCCGGTTATACTGTTCATCTATAATCACGGACAATGCTTTGTACGTAAATGGGCACAATTTTTCCATCTCTTGAACAATTTCTTTGAAGTCAAACGCAAAACTGAATTAAACTCCCTTCGTGCAAGTTCTATCAGCTCCCTGTTTATTTTCTCGAGAACTTTGCCAAACGGTAATTGGTTAACTCTTTATCAACAAGCGACATTTTGACGATTTTACAACTCAATTGTTTATAACGTAAATATCTCAGCGCGTATTCACCCCCCTTTAAAACAAAGAATACCATTGAAATCCTAATAAAATAACCTTTTCAACGGGGGGTCGAATGCCGTCAAAGCATTACACAAACCGAAACAATCATATATTTACTCACCGCTTGGCCAAAATTTCGGAATTTCGTTTCCACAATAGCGTAAATAACTTGTGAATTCTTCAGAGTTCGGCTCAAATCAATAAGAGTGAAATATTCCTTGTATTCAAGTGCTTTTATATCCAAAATTTCATTTCAATACAGCCAGTAGAAATGTTTATTTTGAGTTTTTAAAAATATCGGGGTTTTCTTGTTTTTTCTCGCACGCGCGTGCCACAAGCTAAAATTGGCGAATAAGAAGTACCCGTAGCCCGATGCACGTGCAAATCATGCTGCAGATGTAATTTGACCTTTAGAATCGATTTCCGACGTTTCCCGAGCGCTAGGATGTATACACGCGATGTTTTGGCGAATTTAAATCGCATTTCCGGTCAAAAAATATCCCGCTGAGTTCGCTAATATCGCAACAGATTGAAATATCGAAATAAAAGGCGAAGAACTGAGGCTACAAGCCTCAAAATAACACTGTAAATAGTGTTTTTGATTGTGAATCGAACAAGCCTACAACAAAAAATACATGTTTGAAGGGGCCAAAGTTGTGTCTGGCAAAAGGTATGGCTTTAGTGATAAATTGTTTACATTTTTCGAACAAATATGTAATTTGTTGAAATATGATACATCTTGACCCTTCAAAGGTCATAAATCGCTATAATGTTTGTCTTTGACTAAAACTATCATTATGAATCAGGAAATATTATTTCGCTGAATTGAATGGTGGTATTTTCATCTACGTAGCATGTACTGAACCAAAGATATGAACCTCCAAAATACTATTGCAGTTCTGCAAAATCGCATTTCCGGTCAAAAAATATCCCGCTGACTTCACTAACATCGCAACAGAATGAAATATCAAAATAAAAGACGAAAATCCGAGGCTACAAGCCTCAAAATAACACTGTAAATAGTGTTTTTGATTGTGAATCGAACAAGACTACAATGAAAAACACACGTTCGAAGGGGCCAAAGTTGTGTCCAGCAAAAGGCATGGTTTTAGTGCTACATTGTTTACATTTTTAGAACAAATATGTAATTTGTTGAAATATGATACCTCTCGACCCTTCAAAGGTCATAAATCGCTATAATATTTGTGTTTGACTAAAACTATCACTAGAAATCAGGAAATATTATTTCGCTGAATCGAATGGTGGTATTTTCATCTACGTAGCATGTACTGAACCGAAGATATGAACCTCCAAAATACTATTGCAGATCTGCAATAGTTTTCACAGGGTCGGTCGAAAAGGAGTTAATCTCATCCCCATGCAAACCAACCGCAACGGAAAAGGCGACCTAATATGTAGATAAAAAGATGATCGATTTGTATTATCTAAATTTGTTACTTCAGCAAAACCCTTTGCTGCACGCAGTTCATGAAAAACAAGATGCTCTGTGGAGCGTTAACTCGCTGGGGCTACACAACTGACGCACATTACTGTTAAGATCTAAAGGCTGATTTCCACTGGCACTGTTGCGTTTTTCGTACGCATGTACACGTACATAAAACTTTGAATCCTTCTATTTTTAAATATTTTACAAATAAGTTAACAAATTCATACTAAAACTTGCAGAGCAGTAAATTCTGTTGCTTTATTTATTTGGTTATTTTACAAATTTAAAGTTTTACCCGCATATATTAAGCCTGTTGTGAAAATTAAGCCTGTCCCCGAGCTAAGGGGAAACTTCTGGCGTTTATGCCCACAAGTAAAGTTATATTTTATAGTATGCTACATTCTTCTGTCGACCGCCAGTTTAAAATGTTCAAAATAAAATATGTTGGGGCTTTTGGGCTCAAAATATTATCAAAATGAAGAGAGAAGTGAGACGAATCCACTGGTGTACGGCCAAAAAAAGAGAAAACCAATGATACCAAAGTTATCAAGGATCAAACGTACTGCATCTTTTATAATTTGAGCGATTTGTCAACAAATAATACAATTTCGCTTGGCTTTCAAAGACAAAGTCAGAGGCCATAAATCGCTAGAATACTGTTGTCAGTTGTTTAGTAATACATTTGACATCCGTAGGTACAATTTCTCATCCGTACTTGTTGGAATTTGTCTGGAGCTTTTCGGTGCAGTCGTCTCAGCAGAGGGTGAAATGTCAATACATCTTTTTGTGCGAGAGAATGCAATTTGACTGTCGCAGACGACCGTCTTAAACGCCTTGAAGTTATTTAACCTCCTTTTGCATGGCCGGCAGATCAGGCGAGGAAGTTCATCATCACAAGGAAGTAGGCAACCGTAAATTGTTTCAGCCACACTAAGCAATTGGCTTTGTTGTACAAGTTTTTTAAGTACTTTGATTCACAAACACTTCGACAAAGTCAACATGTATTAGATGGTGCACTACATGATTTGTATACCTTTTTGGGAGTTTCTTTCACATCAACATTTCAGTATATTTTTGGAAAGATACAGTAGAAGTGTGTGCCGCGAAATAGTTGATTTGGACAATACCGATAGACGTGCCTTTAATTAGCTTTTGTTTATTTTTACATATGACAGCTCGACAATAAATCCCTTGCCACTCCTCCCTAAGTGTTTTTAAAATGCTAATTGAAAACACTCCAGATTTTGAGGTGTCACACGACCAGCCCCAACCAGGGTCTTTCCGCAGCTGGGGGCATGCAAAGGTAAGAGCCTGGGTATGAGGTTGTCAGTGTTAGTGAATGGCTACTCTATTGGAAAGACCTGAGTGGAAGGATTGAAGAGAGCCAGACTGTTATGGAGGCAGATGGAGATGAGAACATCCAGGATTTTGTAGCTCAGATTCAAAGGGAACTTTTTAGAATGGTACGGTTGCTCATAATGCTATTATGTGTGTAGTATCATACATGCGTAAAAGTATGCGTAGTATCATACATATTAGGAAGTGTAGGCATACACTGTACCTGTAAAGACGAGTTAGGGTTTATGATACAGTTTACAGTATACAGTATACAATATTGGAACAGCAATATTTCTTTTTACATCTGAGATGATGTATTTTCTGCAGGTTGCAACTATGTGGCAGGACATAGCAGTGGTTGCATGTGATAAGATATTTCAAGAGGATGAAGTTGATGTCTTTGATCTGGTGTGAATTATGCTACCTTATCCTGGGTATAGAAATATCTTGCTCAGTAACTTAGTATACTGTATATTATTACTTAAAACAAGTGAATTAATCCAATAATTTCTCATTAGTGTAAGGAATGGGGATTCCATCATCGTGACAATTTGGGCTATTGCTTGATACTGGCGACTATGGACATTTTAACATCTAACACGCATCAATGTTGATGAGAACTTTCGGATCCATGAGGGAATTTAGTAATCAAGGATTTGAAAGTTCCCATAAGGTTAATCGACGACTGTACTTGCAGGCCACCAATCATGACATTCAGGCGAAAGATTCATCAGGTCTAAAAATAAAATATACATAAGATATACAAAAGATATAGGTACTGTAGTACAATTTCTATCGAGTGTGAAGTGGATAGATACCCATTTTACTGTATATCATTAGTTATATAACAGGTTATAGTTTAAACTTGTATCATTTTCTTGTGTTTTATTACAGTTAAACAAATCTTAACCCATGTGTATGTCAATAAACTCTTGTTTCTTAGTCTTTCATTGAGGAAGGCTTTGGAGTGCTTCCAAGCAGGTAAAGACATACTTTTGGTATTATGTGAATTGTTTTCTACAGGCTGGCAAAACAGTCTCTCTACTGAAATAAAACAGGAATAAAGAAAATACCATCAAATTTGTAAATAACTGAAATCAATCCACCACTGTTGACTGGACAAGTACGATATATACTCACAAATGAGTACAGTAGCCCGGTTTAGACTAGATAATGGTATTTGTTATAGATAAAGAATTCTGGAAATGGCTGTGGGTGGAAGGTCAAGAAGGTGAAATGGACCTTGGTTGATATGAAGTGGATACAAGAAACCAGCAGTCTTATCCCCAAAGCCTGCCAACCCAGTTTCACATACGACCACTGCATCTGGGAAGAACAGTTTAAACTGCCTGAAGTAGAGTTAGAGACAAATCCGAAGTCCGAAGGCTAGATGTTCACTTGAGAAATCCTTCAATGCAGTGAAAGCTCCAGCTAGTGACAAGAAATTATTCCTTCGACATATAGGTTCCAAGATGGGGAGGGTTTGCTTATCTGCAGGACATTGTTGTCATCAAGCTGATAAACACATGTCCTGTAGATAACTACGTGACCATTATTTTATTTATATTTGAAGGAGCACCCAGAAGTGTTCTACCAGTTATCCCAAAGCCATAAGGATGAAAGATAAGCTAGATGTCTGAATGATGTTGTTCAATCATTTGATGCTGCTGCTGCTACTGGTGCTGGAAAGGTGCATTGGCTGCAACAGTTTCCCTAATTCAATTTCGCAGTATCATCACCAGTTGATGTTTGAGGTTGTGAAAAAGACATGTTTGTTCCTTGTTTGGCACCAGTTACAGCTAATATGTTAAAGGAACTTATTGCCACAGCGATAAGAGTTTTTATTGCTTCCCGGAATAATTTATAGTTGAAATTAATTATGCGAAATTAATTTGCGCGCGCAAGTTAATTTAGGTATAGTCACGTGATTGCAAATTTCAGTATTTATCAGTGGTGAAGCGGGCTATCTGTCCTTTCCTATTCCATATGGGCTGCAGTTCACATCAAGAAATTGGATGGAAGAGAATTACCCACCCAGATATGTTATGTGTAGTGGGCGTTAGTAATGCCCCCACCTTTTCTGTGCTAAATGTTATATAGTTATTAATTAATAATTTTTCTTGTTAATTATTAAAAATTGATTAAAACAAAGCGGCTATGTGCCAATAACCGGGCACATAAGCCATAATTATGCCATAAAGGCTTTGACTGGTCTCGTAGTATTCGGCAGCACAGAAAACCGAGCTCAACCTCACAAACAATTTGCTGATGGTGGTTTAATATATGCAGGGAAGCGATAAAAACAACTTGCACCTCAAAGGACTGCCCCAAGCAAATACAAGAATTGAAGTAGCATTCAAATTATCGATGGCAATGTCGAAAATATTCAAAACCAAACATACCCTTGAGACACTGTTTTACAATTGGTTGTGTCCACCACCCAGACCATGTGATGTACAATTCCAGCATCAACCACCACCAACTGCACCAACGAAAACTGGTCATTCACAGTTTGTTCTTTCTGGCAACTTCTGGAATGAACCTTTGTGTTGTACTGTTTATTTCAAAGAGTATGTGTAGATATAATAAAGGGTCACATAAAGTATCTACCCTCCATATCTTACTAAATCTAAGGATTTTTATTCATATTTTAAGGGATTCATATAATGTGGAAGTGAGATATTTGTAAACACAAGGTCAAAATGGCGGATGAGAATGAAAATACAGATACGGCTCATCTGAGACAAATTGTGAGAGAAGAAATTGCCAGATCAAGTGATAAACAACCGAAACCCTGTAAGGCTAAATACCCAGTCGGTATATGAGAGAACACAGCAGTTGATAAGAGGAGCAGCAAATACTGCTGTGAATGAGCTGTCGAGTCAAATTCAGCCACAAGGTCCGCTATGGTTTTCAACATTAACAACGGTGCTAACACAAGGGGCTCATGCGCCAAGCTTGCAAGAGTCTAGAAGTTCGGCCGGATAATGTAAATCTCAGCCTGGTCATCCCTGGAGATTCAAAGCTGCCAGTGCTCCAAAACGCAAAGTGGCTGAAGGAGAGTCAATAAACGTTTGGCTCTTAGATTATCCAATTGACAATTCCAGAAATGAAAAAGGCTTTGTATCACTAACCCTACTGATAATCCAATGGGAGATAAAACAAATAATTGCATTTCTCCTTCAAACGAAATTTCCAAATCTGGAAAGTTACCAATTTGATTATGTGAAACACAAGAGAATCAAGATTTGCACTCCAGCAACCCGGGCAGATTGATTTTTCATGGAATTTTGCTGCCCTTAAAAATCTTTGGGAACTGGGAAAACTTTATTGCCAGTTAAATGTGTCACAAAAAGTGATAGAGGAAGGCAGTGACAATGATGACCTTGAATCTTATTCATTCCTGTCAAATTCATCTAGTGATGTGAAAATCGGTTCAAGACAAGAGGTTCAATCTTCCGCAGGTGATCAGACAAGTGGTACCCAAATGTCAACAATTGGTACCCAATCATCAACAAGTGGTACCCCTCCCACCGAGCAGCGGAATGTAAAAGTATTGTGACATGTTACAACTGTGTTAGAAGACATCACACCTCAATCTGTGAAAATCCAAAGAAACCTGAGGGGTTCATGTCAGCCCACAGAGCAGAGGACAACCAAGTTATTTATCCTGTTGTGGTCATCAAAGTCGATGGGATAAAGACACAAGCGCTACTCGACACTGGCTCGGGGAGCTGCTATGCTTCAGCCAAACTTATAGACGCTCTGAACAAGAAACCGAAGGAGATCCAAACAAAACGGATTGAAATGATACTCGGCTCAACAACAACCAGAGTTGAAATCTACCCTGCAACTATCAAGGGAGCTGATGGTCAGTTTACAATGGAAGTCGAACTATCGAAAGTCCATAAGCCAGCCACATCTGATGGAAACACATCTGAACGCCACATCTGAACACCAGTATCCTGAGATTGTTAAAGAGATTTGCGATGGCCTGTATGTGGACGACCTCATGGCTGGTGGTACAACAGTTGACGATGTGCAAACAAAGAAAGCCACAGCCATTGAAGTTTTCGAGGACGCATCTTTCACACTTCACAAATGGCACTCGAATGCAAGAGAACTCGAAGCCAGCAGAAATCCACCAGCAGATGATGAGTTTACCTATGCCAAGCAGCAATTAGGAGTGAGCCAACCGGGGACAAAGCTTTTGGGACTAGCGTGGGACAAGGATAAAGACACCTTCAAAGTTGGGTTGCACAAAGATGAAACTATCTCTACAAAATGGAATGCTCTGTCTCAACTAGCAAAGATCTATGACCCCCTGGGACTGGTCTCACCAACAACTTTGCAAGGAAAAATTCTCTGTCTTGAGATGTGTGAGATCAATATTGCGTGGGACAGTGAACTTCCAGTTGAACTGAAAAATCAATGGATCGAGTGGTACTCCAAACTGCCAAGTTACATCGAGGTTAACTCTGGCACCATATCAACAACCAATCTTAGAAATTGTGTTGCACGCATTCGGAGATGTGAACACTCGGGGAGTCTACGCGGTCGTCCGGCAGGAAACAATCAAATCAATAAATCCCTTTACGCACGGAATTGTACGACAAGCGCATCTATCAACATTACACGATGGTCGCTTGTGAGATTCTGAGATTGCGTCAAGAAAGTGAGAAGTGCCTGCTGGGGTTGCAAGAGATTTAGAGCCCAAGCATACCAATCCCCACCTCCATGAAACCTTCCAAGCACAAGGACACAAGGGTCTGCACCATTCCAAGTAATCGGGGTGGACTTTGCAGGCCCAATTTACTACCAATTGAAACCCGGAACTGAAAGCAAAGCATATCTGGCCTTGTACGGATGCAGCCTGACAAAAGCATTATATCTAGATTTATTGAAGTCATTGGAAGCAACCGAATTCATCATAAGCCTCAAACGGTTTATCGCACGCCGAGCCAGACCAAAACTTATATACTCGGACAATGGCTCGACATTCAAGGCCACCAAGAAATGGCTGCGACAAGTGCAGAAAGATGAACGACTTAATGATTACCTGGCTGACCTCTCCATCAAGTGGCAATTTAACTTGAGTTGTGCTCCTTGGTGGGAAGGCCAATTTGAGTGTTTAATTGGCCTTTTCAAGAATGCCTTCTACAAGACCGTAGGGAATCGCACATTAAGATGGACGGAGCTCGAGGAAGTTGTGATCGACGTAGAGGTCTCTCTTAATAATAGGCCTCTGAGTTACGTAGAGGACGATGTCCAACTACCACTACTAACCCCTAACTCGATGTTAACCTTTAATCCTAATCACCTACCTGAGCTGAAGGCTTACCACGTTGACGAAGCAGACTTACGGAAGCGAGCCAAACACATTAAGAAATGTAAAGAGGCCGTATGGAATCGTTGGACAAGAGAGTATGTAAGAGGTCTTTGTGAGCAACATCATCGTGCTGGAGAACAAACACCATACCCGAGCGTCAGAGACGTAGTGATCATCAAGAGCGAAAACAAAAACCGGAATATGTCAAAACTAGGGGATCGTCACTGAATTGATAAAGGGAAGAGATGGAATGACAAGAGCTACAAAATTAAGAGTTGGTACTGGCAACCTTGAATGTGCCCTTCAACACCTGTGTCCCCTACAACTGTCCTGCGATTGGCAACAACCACCTCAACTTGACGCAAATGCACCCACGTTTCAACCAAGACCAAAAAGAGATGCGGCGGCAGAAGTGCAGATTCAACAAACGGCGGAAGAAGAAGACAATGATTACTAAACGAACTGTTCGAGACTAACTAAATTTCTAGGGTTGATATTTGACATTAGCTATTATGTTGGAACTTGTATGTCAGACGGATGTACTGTAACATGCACATCACTCCATGGATATACATGGGGGCAGTGTGTCCAGAAATGGGATTGATATGCCTGGTGGACTTTATTGCCAGTAGCTGACGTCACCGATGTGCCCATTTTTGTTTAATTAATACTCTATTTTTTTCTTTTAAATGCTAATTATAGTTAATGATGTGGACTCAAGAATGAAAGGTACTGTAGGAACTCATAAGATTGTTATTATAAAAGTAGAAATTGTTAATTCCATTTTTACATAACTAATCTTTACTTCATTAAATTTATAGGACGATGTTGCAAATGTGGCCTCAGAGGTCACCAAGCCAAAATGTGCAAAGCAAGTATGTATTTTTCACAATCACTTGCTATTAGCTTTAATATATATTTATATATAAATAATATCTCATTATAGGAGTGGTATGTTGGGTGTGCTGAGAGAGAGGACACATAAGTATGAAGTGCCCCCAAAGAAAACAAAACACTGGGGAGAGGGTGTACAATAATTGTACAAATTGTACTTTTAATAATTGACATTTTAATAATTAAATTGTAATTTAAATTGTTGTTAAATTTATAATTATACAGTTTTTAAAAAAATTCTTCTGGAGCAGTCATAAAGTATATGTTATGTGTGGGGCAAAAGCTAATTGAACATTCTGAAATCAATACAATTTTGTTCAAAATGATTTGCTCAGGAACAATTTAGATACAATTAGGAATGAGTTTTTAATTTCAAAACTTATTGACTTCCTTTCACCCACATGAATAAACTTTTGCACCCCATATTAACAAAAACTTTATAATCGTTCCTTTGTTTTAAAAATTAATATTTACCTTTTGCCATTTGTCAGTTTTTAAAATAATATATAATAATTCATTGATATACAAAATAATTTTTTTTATAAATAATGCATCAGTCATATCCAAAGCATGCCCATTCCTTTAACCTATGGTGTATACCTAATGCCTTGTTTGAATGTTTCCCACTTGTCTCAAGAACCTCATTTCTGCTGGGGTCTATATAGTGTACTACTTCGTAATCCTGCATAATAGCATGACCCAGCCTTAATTTACAACTGGCCCCTTGGTGATCATATTTGGAATATGTTATGAATAATGCATAATTATTAAATACTTTTATAGAAATATACATACTAGGATGTAAATAAAGTAAAAACAGGTTACTAAAAATAAACAAAACTTTGCCAAGTTCATTGTCTATCTTCAAAATCCAAAGCAAATTACAACTGTATCTTTGCCAGTATAAATCAGGATCATCAAAAATGTTTCATGTTCTTAACCCATTACTGTCGATGCAATAGAAGTGTTGATAAAATATTGCATCAATTCATTTCCTCAAGTTGATCAATTCATAAGAATTAAATTTATTTTTACTTCCTGTGCATTTCGTATTTGTCAATTGGTTCTGAAACAAAATCTAATTGGTTCATCTAGAAGCAACAGGAACTTGAGGAAAGGAATTGGTGCAATATTTTATCAACACTTCTATTGCATCGACAGTAGGCCGCACTGGGGCGCATTGCGGCTCAATGGGTTAATTATGAAATTGATTTTACTCAATCATGTAATTTCTAGAGAAAATGTTACAGGCCTCTAACCCTGATCTTTTATATGAACCTAGCTTCAACAGAAGTTGGTACAATTGACTGCCAATTTTTGAATCTTGATAGACTTGATAATTCTAAACATTACAATTTCATTGCCATCAGTGGCCAGTTAAGTATGTACTGCATCTGTGCTATTTTTTATGGATTTGTTTTTAAAAAACCAGTATGTTTAATGATGTAGATTAAATTAACAAACCCGCTGCATTTTGGAAAGATTTTGATAAAAATAGCAAAGATACACAACAATTACTGATATCTCATTATATATGTAATTGAGTAAATGACGTCACATGGTTAAAAACAAAATGAAATATCTCAAGAACAAAGCATAGGAACAAAAATTTTCAAAACAAGTTATTATACAGTTTTAGGAGCACTTTTGTTTAAGAAAATAAAAATTTTGACAAGAGTGCCACTTTAAAAAGGTCTTCCTCTTTAGGTACACTGATATATTAGAAAGCACTTTAATTTTACTATAAGTAGTATCATGAAGCAGATGGTGGTCAACTGGCATTTTATATAGTAAAATTTGAAATAGCAAATGAAACTATAAACCTATATTCAACCATTTTCTTTCGAGGTAGACTGTTTCTCGTATTAATATAGTTTTGGCAACCTAATTCTATACATCAGTTGCTAAAATTGGCCACTACACAGTACAAATAGGCTGTTTATGTCACTTTGTTTTGACCTAGTACTAACAGTACTCTATCACAAATTAATATTGAACATATGTCATATAAACAGTATACCTTTAAAAATAATGTCTTTCCAAAATTTCTTGAGGTTTGAATATTCGTTCCCTGTCTTTCACTGGCCAGGATGATTCTTGCCACTTGTACAACTCGAAAACAAATATTAAAATGTCGAAGAGAAGGCAAATACCTTGGCAAACTCCAAAACAAAAAGCTAAAATATTTTTGCGAAAATCAGGGGGAACAAAATGAGCCTTGTTCAGTGGTAATTACCATGAGGATTTGGGACCAGTGGCGTCATTCTGGCATCAGCAAATGTGAAAATCCGCCATTTTTGGCAACACTTTTTTGACTGAAGAGATAGGAGCACCTCCTCCAGTAATATAGTATAGCTCAGTGGTGGCCATTCTCTGCCACAATTTCAACACAGCGACATGTTTCCAGACTGTGGTTGACACATGTTTTTGTGAAGGGTACGTACTTCCTCCAGTTCACCTTGCTTTTGTTCTATGTTGGCCGCTTGAAAGCTGCTCATTTCCAATTGTCTACCAGCGATTGGTAGATCTTTGAGTGTGATTTTAGGGTCATGTAAGGCTTGTTTTCACAGTTGGCTAGACAATCTTTTTAAGACAATTTTTTTAAGCATAATCTCAAAGTCTGAGTCTTCGAACTCACATATTTCTGCCAAGCTTCGTAATCAAGTGTAGTAATGATTGATGTCTTCACTAATATTGATATAAAAGAAGAGCATGCTGTCACTTCTTGTTGGTAATCCCTGTAGCAACCAGGTATGTCTTAGCTTGCGTGCAGTCCCAGATTCCAAAAGGAAGACTCCTACTTCTGGGACTGTGTGCATGCTTGGTATATCCTGAAATCATCAATTCATATTTTCCATTTTGCAGCAAGGTTTGTGCATATTTCTGTATATCAGGATCAAAATGCAGTATGGGTTGTACTATCGGACTACTTGAATCATTGGACTACATAGTCAATATCCATTCTTGTTGCCAATGTTGTGTTTTATCAATATTTATTATAACTATAAATCAAAGCATGTGTTCATCACCACCACTGGCTTTCCCAATCCCATGTGTCTGTTCACGCGACTACTTGTCCTAGTGGCGTAATCACTACATAAACCAATGTCAACAAACTGCCTATGGTATTGATGAAAGTCATTTCTCAAGTGACATTAATGGCCAACTGCTAATGATGATCATTGGCTTAGTTGTTTCCGGTAAAAGTTATGTCATTGATGCAATTATTGTCTGACAATAGTTGTAAAGTATTTCTGTACTTCAGAATTGCAGCATTTAATGTGGTTCAAATTCGCATTCACATTTACAATTGCAAATACGAGCTAAACAGAATGGCCCATTGATATCTACTGCATTGTCTAAATTGCAGGATGATTTAAATGGGATCAAATGCTAAATTATTGACGAGAATTCTGTCATTGGCCAAAAAATGTTTGGTTGGATTGACATGCAGTAAACAACGTTCATTTTACTATATATTTAATAACAATACACTTACATATCACAATAAAATAGTAGGTTCTGCACTGGTGCTAGCTTTCATTATTTTATTGCCATGTCTGGAGGCGTGTTCTGGGTGTGCCACACTAGCATCTGATTGGCGCGTAGTCTCGATGTCATTAAACTATCGAATTATAATGTTAATAAACATGAACCGTCTGTTACACTCCCAAGGGTTAATCTACACTATTAATAAACTTAAATAACGTTATTATGTCTGTGTCACACAGTAACTTCACTATTGTTCCAACTTCATAGGAAGTATTTAGTAACAACTGTACTTGTGTTCGACGTCAGCATTTCTTTTGAAGAGGGATCCTCTTTCATCTTCTCTGTGGTAGGTTCACTCTCATGCGTTTAGGTCTTTGTGTTGTGGTAGGTTCACTCTCGTATTGTTTAGGTCTTTCTCTTGATTAACTATGCATACCTTTGCCGCTCTAATAACACCGTCCTTACTAGCAAGTAATTCCTCCACCTTTGCCAAATTCCAAAATGATCATGATGACTTGTCATTCTTTAAAACTACAATGTCTCCTTCTATTGCTAGCTTACGAGTCGTATCCGACAAAACCTTTGACTTTGAGGCATAGAAATAATAGATATAGAATGCGTACTTGATCACAAATCATGTCTCCACTTTTTCTCATGCGTGCCCTTATAAATCCGCCATGTTGAATTTTGACTAGGAGTGCAAGTTCATTTGTTATTTCGCATAAATTTTTTTATATCTACCTTTGGAAAACGATGTTTTACTAAAAAAAAACCAAAAAATATGCCAAATACGTGTTCAGCATTGGGTTGTGCCAGTAGGTACAAACACAGCTGCGATGCCAAACAAAGCAGACAATCATTTTACTGGTAAGTAAATAAACCTTTTTCTCGCTTTTTATGGTTTTACAGTAATTTTATCGCTTGCGAGTTGTTGTGTTAATATTTAAAACTTTGCTGCGTTGAAAAATTAGCGCATTTATTTGAAAAAAGAAAACCCATTCACTCTCAAGCGAAATATAGATTTAACGAAAATAAAAATTAAGAAATTCCCGTCTTATAAAAGCCAAAAACTTTAATTTTGTAACTCTTGTTGAGTTGTTGTTTTGTTTTGTTTTGTTCTTGCTCGTTAATTGTCTACATGTAACTTGAACTTTGAACTTGGTTACATGCAACTTGACCTTGTTGATTGATTATTAATTCATTGTTTCAAAATAGATTAACTTTTCACAACAAACTGTTTATATTTCGCTTAATTTTAACAGATTTCCTCACAAAAACCAGCAACTTTTGCCGAAATGGATTGAAGCCATCGGAAGAGGAAACTGGTTCCCTTCAAAAACTGCTGTGCTTTGTGGAAATCATTTTTGCAACGACGACTTTATTCTTTCTTCGCATCCAACCGACAATTTGCAAAAAAATATTTTGAAAAGAGATGCTGTACCCAGCATTTTTAAGGACGACAAAGGAAATATTACAAAAATTGATTGCGACGCTGTTGAGTACGATCCCTGCTTGCCTTTGAGCTCTCTTTCGATCAGTCAGGATTTATTTACAAATCCTGAAACTATAAACGAAAATATCCAAACGAGCAAATTAATTTTTAGCGTAGCTCAGTTGGAAGAGCATTGGGCTAGTATTCCAAAGGTCGTAGGTTCGAATCCCGCCGTGGCCAGGCATATTTTTCAAGCCTGCCCGGTGTGGATATACACTCAGAGTAACATCACACAAACAAATTAAAAGAACTTGTAAAAAAGAAAGACAAAAAAATCAGATGGCTCCAAAAAAAGTTTTAAGGCAAGCAAAAACCATAAAAGGTTTGATGGCGACTTTAGACCAAAAAAATCTAATCTCGAAAGACCGGTTCGCGATATAGTAAAGACATCAGGGAATTTGCGATATCTCTAAACTTTTACAGTCCAAGAGCATATAAATTTGTACGCAAAACGCTACATTTACCGCATCCTGCTACACTTCGATCATGGGCAGGGAATGTTGCTTGCGAGCCAGGGTTCCTGACAAATTCCATAAAGAGTCTTGCAAACAAATTACACCTTAGTGGAGAGAAAGAGTGTGCTTTGATCTTGGACGAAATGTCCATAAGAAAAGAAACGCGATGGGACAAAAAGCAGTCCAAATTTGTAGGCAATATCAACTATGGTGATATAAGAGGTGAAGACCCTGAAAACATAGCAACAAATGTTTTGGTTATCATGGCAGTTGGCCTGCATGAAGTCGCCTTGGCAAATGCCAATTGCATATTTCCTAACAAGCAAAACAAATAGTGAGATTCAGGCACAACTAATTAAAGAGGCCATAATACTATTATTTCATGAAAACATAATAGTAAAATCAGTAACATTTGATGGGCCAACAAAAAATGTAGCCACAGCTCGAAAGCTTGGTTGTAATATCAATGATTTACAAGGTTCCTTTATCCATCCATGTAGACCAGATTTAAAGGTCTATGTCATTTTGGACATTTGTCACATGCTGAACTTAGCCAGAAACTCTTTAGGAGATATAAGAATTTTTTTAACTCCTACAGGCGAAACAATTTCATGGGATTTTATTAAAGCTTTGTATGATATTCAGCAGGGTGATATTTTGCATTTGGGAAACAAATTAAGTACCAAGCATATTCAGTGGCAAAAGCAGAAAATGAAAGTGTCGGTTGCTGCTCAAACCTTGAGCTCATCAGTAGCATGTGCAATTACATTTCTACGAGAAAATAATTATCCTAAATTTCACAACAGCAAAGCCACAAGTGACTTTATTTTACTTATGAATAATCTTTTTGATATACTAATTCAAAAAGTAAATTTGGCAGGCAATTCAAAGCCCCAATAACAAATGAAAATTATAATGAAAGGTATACCTACTTAAACTAAGGTATAAAACTATTATCATCTCTAACTGACCTTAACAGGTTAAAGATCCTTAATGGTCCAGGAAAGACCTTTATTCAAGGCTTTGCAATCTCTGCAAACTCCATTTTGGCCATCAGCAAAGATCTTTTGGTTAGAACACACAAGCCATATAGTTATGTATTAACATACAGATTTTCACAGGATCCATTAGAGATGTTCTTTAGCAAAATCCGAGGACAATTGGGCTGGAACAATAACCCTAATGCCCTACAGTTTAAATATGCATTAAGGGCATTGCTTCTCCAGAACAAGGTAGAAAGTCCATCAACTGCCAATTGTACCAAAGTGAAAGATGACCATGATGCAATACGTACCATATGTTCCTGATGAACAAGATAAACAAGTTTCAGACATGCTTGTTACATCCACTGCATGGAGACCTGATGCGCTCTTCTATATATCGGGATTTGTAGCTAACAAGTTTTGTAAGACCTTAAAATGCCCCGATTGTGTTGCAGCATTGTTTGAACCGCCGGATGAAATTCATGAGCATTGCAAAACTACGTCCCTTTTATCTTGCAAACGAACAGGTAAACTTTTCATTCCATCTCCGTCTGTTGTCAAAGTGGTAACATCAACTGATAATTTTGCAAGACAACAACTGAACTCTTGGACATCACTAGAGAAAAGAAAAACCGACAAGATATTTTCCGATGTTCTTCAAGCAACTAAACCCTGCACATTTGATAAATTGTTTGAACATTCTCGGCAGTGCCATATTTTAGATCAACATATGAGAGATGACCATATTTCTATACTTATAAGACATATTGTGAATTGTTATTTAAAGCTGTTTTTTATCAGTTTGGAAGAGTTTATACAGAGCGTGTTATTAAAGAAAACAAAGCTTCTATAAGGCATGCACTTACCAAGCAGATTTTATTTCACAATGAGTAATTAAACTCATGCTGTTTGCAAAGTTCCCAAACATCCTGGGCTATACTGGGTTAAGTAACCTGGCCCACCAAAATTGGTTAAGGTATGGTTCCCTCCATATAGGAAATGACATCCAAAAACCAGGGAACAATGCAACAGCTGAGAATTACACAAAGTTACATACAGTATATATACTAGAAAATACATGCATGCAGAAACCCTCGCCTTGCTGACAAAACCGTTGTATTTTCTGAACATGAAGTATCTAAAGTAGTTGTCATGGTAACACGATAATTTTTTAAGAATATTCTTACAAATGAAAATCGCCTAAAAATATCACTTTTAATTACAAAATTATCAATTTCCCAACATATATATGTTAGGTATGTAATTATACATAATACAAGCTTCAATTTAAGGTAAAATTCAACCACAAACAATTCACAAAACGTTTTAAAGTGTTCTTTATAAAACTAAACTGCCTTTATCTATTAAATGGCTTTATCGATAAACTTTGAGTTTGCAATAAAATGATTTCAAATTCTCGCTTGCAAATAACTTTGCTTTATTTTTTATTTAAAAAATTCAATATAATAAAAAAGGGAATCAATATTAAAGATACACTGAAATTATATGCTGTCTTGTTTAATAGTTGTTTCATATACGCAAAGGCCGTCGGGTTTTAAAGCCATTATAAAATCAATATTTAAAAGAAACTTACCTTCGTTAACGTCGGCTCCCTTCTTTTAGCTGATTCTTTCGCCCTTTCTTTCTTGAAATTTACAAAATCTTGCAGAAATACGAGCAAAAATGAAGAATATTTGCAAGAAATTTATCAATCATCAACTCATCAAATCAAGAAATATTTGCTATTTCGCTGTCGTCATGCAGTCGTTATAATGCAAACTTTAAATTGGACCAATCAGTGTCCGTTATTCATGACAGTCCGCCATATTTTTGAGATCAGTAAGGACACAGAATAGGAAGGTATAACTTCCTATTCTGTGTAAGGATGACCACCCATCGTTGGTGACCGACGCCCGCGCTCATTGATGAACTTTAGACTTCGCTAATGCTTTCGTTTCCCCAGGTGTGAATAGCCAGGGGGAATTAGTACCCTCGCACGGCGCTTCGCGCCGCCGGCTCGGGGATAATAGCTGCTTATAAATGTAAATAATTGTAAATATTACTTTTTAATTAAGATAAAAATGTTACCTATTAAAAGTGTTAAGTATTTCCTCTTCAAATGCAAGCCTTTCTACTGTGTAGTTCCAAAAACTATTCAAACTTGAATTTTCACAATTGCATGAACCATATATTATTAAATTGCATGAACAATATATATAAATTGCATGAACCATAATTGCATTTTAGAGGAAACACTTGGTACAAAATGTTTATAAAAAGTTAAAAACGAATTAAATAAACTTTAAGATAAAATTTTGGTGTCTCTTATTGTTGTTTTATTTAATTACACCTTGTCACATCTGCCAAAATTACTAGTGTAAGTTGTATTTGTTTTGTAAACAATATAAACACAGATACAAAGCACAATTATTAAACATTTTGATAGTCAGATAGACAACCACGAACGACTGTTTTGAAAACGATGTGGTTCTTGTATAATAATCAACTGAAGCAGGTCAGTACATCACAACCTTTTTAATTAATTTCAGTATTCATTCTGTACATATAAATATGACTTTACCTTCACCTTCACGATATGATCTTCACAACAGATCTTCAGCCTGCATGATCCTGAACATAAATATATATTTTCACACCAATGCATTCAAATGAGCATAGTATACTTGGGAAAAAAATTCATACTTGACTGGATATGAACGCTGTTTTGGAAGAAATCAGCTGGTATGACTTTAAATGGCTTCCACGGCAAGTCTGCTATAAAGTCATTAGTCATACCATTTAACACTTTAGAATAGTTTGTAGGCTATTGTCGGCAATAGCAACAAACACGTAAATCAATGCATACATATTGAATGACAGAGTATTAAAAATCTGACAGGAAATCCCGCAGAAAACACTCAAAACACTTTAGTAGTTCGATTATCTCGTTGACTGGACAGCCACCGCTCCTCGTGTACAAATTTACTTTACCGCGCGAAATTCCTTGCTGCCTGAGAGTCTGGGAACCAAAATGCCCTTATAAATCCGCCATTTTGTGGAGACAAATTTTTTACTGAGAAAAGATAGGAGTATGCATTCCATATCTATTATTTCTATGCTTTGATGACTCTCTTAAACTAGTGAGATACTCCATTCTCCATTTAACTCCATTCTCCATTTAAAAGCCTTTGTGTGATACGTCTGTCGTCGAGTTAGGGATTGATTTGTACTGATCACTTAGAATTGCTCATCATTTCGTGTTGTAGCGCTGTTTCGACCATAGATGAACAATGCGGGCGTTAACAGGTAAGACATGCCTTCTTCATCATTGTATATGTAAGTCATGGGTCGATTGTTCAGCGTAGCTTCAATCTCAATCAATATTGTGCGCATTTCTTCAAACGAAAATGATACCCACAGCTTTTTTCAGGTGGGGGGCCTGCCACACTAGCATCTGAATTGGTGTGTTGTCTCTAATGTTATAATGTTAGTAAACATGAACCGTTCGTTACAACCTTTTTAGAATTAATATATTCGAAAATCGGGTTGGCCATTCAGGAAATTATGGCAATATGAAAATTGTTAAACAGTGAAAATATTCTGGAATTGTATTGTCAGTATAAACTGATTTAAAAAATCATGGCATTTACATGGATAACAAGTCCAACCAACATCACAAGAAGTGTTTTTCAGATGGTTCCTGCAAAACATTAAAATAACAATGTATACACATAGTGTGCATGCAGCATTTACATATTGATATATGGATATGTATGATATACCAGAAAAATTATGTGACTATAGGATACATGATGCTATACATATTTACAAGGATACAAAGAGTTAGTAAGTTATATTTTAAATATATTGTATGAGTATTATACATATTTTTCAGCAAACTAAAGATATTTTGTGCAATTCCATGTCAGATCATCAATTACAAAACTTAATTTTGTTAAAAAACGAAAGATATTACAGACAGTGTGGACCTTGACCTACTGGTTGCAAAATGATTCATGAAGACCAACTCGCAAATAAATTTGTCACATTTATCATGCCTGCAATGACGTTTTCATTACATGTTATGGAAATTTTTGAGAACATAAACAATTGCTGCCACACAATATCGGCATTGTGGTGAAACTTATTACATTATTATGTAATTATGATACATTGATATTCTAAGTGCATCTAATATTTATTGCATCTTCATTTTCCGGATAGCAAACACCGTTGTGGCTTCGTATGCCATGAAAGATTTGGAAATTTTTTTCATCATTCGGTAAGGGACAATGCGCCCACACGCTTTTCAACGGTGCATCATGCAAAAAAAATCGGTCAGACACTCGCAAAGTTTTTCAAGTTTAAAATTTTAGTTTTTCAAAAATAATGAACAATGGCAATACTGTTGCAAAGAAGGATTTTAGAGCAACTTTTAAAAGCAAAAAAAGATGAGGTTTTTGAATGATCTACAACGAAAATTTGGCACAAAATTAAAGCAAATGTATTGACGTTTTGGGTCATGTTCTTCTGTGAACCATGCACAAGATTTTCAGCCAAAAAGATGAGGATTTCTCAAAACTTTATCAGTCAGAAATAACACGGAATACAAGTGAGCAGATAAGATATTTTTAAGGGTAATTTTGAGTAGAAATATGTGATCAAACACATAAAAATTCAACCACATTAAAATTAATTGGTTGAATCTAGTTTAAAGTTTTTAACGTTATCTTTTTAGACAAACTGTTTATGCAAATTTGATCACAATTTTGACTGTTTTCATGACCCCATTGTTGGTCTTCTTGTTCAAGTTGTTATTTTAGCTACAGTATGTTTCAAACAACACCAGAATATGGGATCAGTTATCCAAATATAATGGGGGATATGCTTGATACCATTTTCTTCGATAACAAAAGTAATTACTATTTCCTGGCAGGTTTCGAGTACCATCAGAGAAAGCCGTATCTAACACTGAAAGTGTTGTATATATATTGTGCATGGTTAATACATTCCCAGATTGTTTACCATTTCCATGGAAATTCTGGTGATTCCATACAGAAAGTACATGAAACAACCATATCTTGACAACCCAACCGGAACTTTTCCAGAATGAATGGTTTGTTTGAAAACGTTGCCCTCTCATACCGATTGGAACATTTCAACCGTTGAATTTGATTCCATTTACATCTTTTTTATTGTTTTCACCAATTCCAGGCTCTTCGCGATTTTATTCAAACCAGATGGGTTTTCCATGTAAATGGTAAACAACCCTTCAGTGCCTTCCGGTCAGTCACTCTAAATGGAAAGCACATAATCCAAATGGGACTTTTTATCCAAAATTTTGCTTACCATTAGCACAATTTCAAACCAGATGGGTTTTCTATGTGAATGGTAAACAACCCCAGTATTGGTACTTACATTATGCAAATGTTTACATTTAACAATACTATAAGTTTTGTATGCCCTAATAAGGGTTACGTCAATGTGGAATATACAATAAAATAATCAAACTTAGAACATCGAAATGTATAGAATATTTGACAGTATTTTTCAAATTGGATAGCTAAGCATTCCACAAAACATTGTTGATCAACAATCCATGGTCACAGTCTTTACCCAGATGGTCAAAGAGCACATTTTATCAACTAAATCTATATACAAAATAATGCTTACAGACTATAAATGCAAGTCATTGGTTAAATACACTGTCTGGCCAACTGATATTGTTATTTAAGCATAGAAATGTGTTTATATTGGTACCTGACTCAACTCTTGACGAAACTTTGAGAGTCCCCGAAATTTCAGTTGACAGTATACCATATTTACTCGTTTGAGCGCTGCCCCCGAATGAGCGCCGCATTTGAGATCAAATTTTTCTAAAGACCTGTAAACACTTTCCACCTGTCAAGATGGGGACATTTAGTGACAAAGACATTTTAAACTTGTTTATTTTATTGCTAAAAGTTCTTATGATTCACAAATAAAAGATTTTTTAAAGAGCACCGCATCTGAAGCTCTGAAAATTTAAAGAGTGCCGTGGCGCCAAACAGGTAAATACGGTAGCATTGGTAGTGGTATCGATCTATTTATTTCTTTATTTTGTGTGCATGGATTGTGTTCATGTGTGTGTGTATTTGTCAAAATGTATTTAATGTAGATTGGTACATTCAACAGTGATGGTTATGTTGACATATCTGTACCATCTGATGTTTAATGACTAATCTCTAACGTTTTTCACTTTACAGCAGTGCAACAGAGCCAACAAACTGCAAATTTATACTACAATGTCATTTTTCAAATATTGAGTGTTGTGAGTAAGACAATATGCATTATTATGCATCAAAAAAGGGATGGAAGGAAATGGCAGGTGTTTTGTCACAAAATGGCGGCACAATAACCTATCAAGTTACCAATATATGCCTGTTTCTACTATGTTTTTGAATAAACAAACTATTATAGAGGATGTGTCTCCCCCCATTCGGTTCCTTTTGGATACCAACCGATGAGTTCAAAGGAACATTATTGACTTGAAAAACCACTTGTTGGGAACGTTCACAGTATCCGGTCTAATTCAGTGGTCTGAATCTCCACACAAACCAATGCAAGAATCAATAAAGTTAGTAAAAGATGGAACTATAACTGACAAGCTCAGGTATGCTAAAGCTTTCTGTTTGGGAAGAGCATATAAATCAAGTAAAGGAGGGTGAGTTCTAGATCTTTACGATAACAGACTGCAAGCTGAGATTTTAATGTGGTTAAACATAGATTTAAGTGAAGTTAATGGCAGATGTATCATGTCTGCATCCTTGGCAATTCTCAATATTGACAATATTGCCAGCACCTCTTGTCCTCTGTCAAGTAGGAATACGCCAGTAACCAATTCGCACATATCACTGATGCAAACAAGCAATGCGGGTTCTTTACTGCTAACAGTGTTAGTCAATGACATGGTTCAAGTGCTTCAAGGTAGCTTGGAAGGCCTTTTTCGGTCCGCCATTGATGTTCATTTCTCCATTTCGTCAACCACAGTAGTCGCAAACAATGCTGAGCAATCCTCATCTCGTCCAGCAAATAACCTTGCTGAGAATGCTGTGGCTAACAATTTGGAATCGCAGACTGCTTCATATGTCCATAAATGAAGTGTATGCATTGTTCACAGATTGGCATCCAACCATTAAAATCAGAAAAAGTAAATTTGCTGAACTGAGACCAAAGCATGTGCTTCTGAGTAGTCAACTGCATCACCATGTGTGTCTCTGTAAATATCATGAAAATATTATTATGACTGTTAAGTGTGAACAGTCTTAATAAATACTTTCCCACAATATGACCACCATCTGCCAGAAGAATTCATATGTGAGTCTGTCACAGAAGAATGTTGGTTCAATGAATGTCTCACCTGTAAAGATGCAAAGGTGCTCAGAAGTATGTCCTGCTTTGAAGAGGCAGAACCTGTTAATTGGCATGTTTGGAAAAATGGTGCTGATGGTAAGATGTGCAAGATGGTGATGAAGGGAACCACAAATGATCTTTTTGATCACATATGTTCAGAATGACCATTATTCCTGAAGCATTGTTATGTAAAGAGAAGTCAAGCAAGTAGCTACAAATGGAAAGAGAATCGGTTGGAGGTGAAGATTTTGACCAAACACATGCTATGATGCAAGTAGACGTCTCCGAGAACTATACCTGTATTTTTCAGGACGAAATTCAAAGTGCAAGTTCCCACTGGAAGTAAGATCAAGCCAGCCTTTTCACCACAGTGATTTGGTTTGATGGAAAGGTACAGTAAAAGGTTATTGCATAAGATAATTTAGATCATAGTAAGGATACAGTTGTAGCCTATGTTGGCTATCTCCTTGACACCCTTCCAGCAACAGTGAAAGCAGTCTCAGTGTGGTCTGATGGTCCTTCATTGCAGTTCAAAAACAAATTTAATCACTGCAGTGATAAAAGTACATCAAGACAAACATCAAATCCATATCTGATGGAAATATTTTGCCACATAACATGGAAGAGGGCCAGTCGATGGAATGGTTGGTGCAGTGAAAAGACAAGTGTGGATGGCTATCGGCAGAAAAACATCTCTTGTAACTGATGCTACATCATTTAAGTCAACCACCAAAAAAGTATGCAATGTGGATGTGGTGGAAATGACATCACATGAAAGAAATGCCATCCTCGATGTTGAAGAAGTATTCCAGAGTGCACCTGTGGTCAAAGGTATCAAGTCGGTCCATTCCATTCAAGTTATCGATTCAGTTTTACATGCATATACAACAACATTCTCTATTCTCGGGACCATGTACTTGAAAGCATTAAATCCATCAGTGTTGATAAACTCGCGGGAACACTATGACTTTCCAGATTTTAACACCACCAATAGTGATACATGAAAGTATTGACATGAATGCTAATTATGTACAAAATAGTACATTGATGAATGACCTGGGGATTTCCATGGCTATAATGATAATTTCAATTCAACATTTAACATGGTCAGTTTTGTAACGTAAGTTGTGTGACATCAGCCACACTATTATTAGTTGCTGCATTTTCTGCGAAGACGTTTTATCAAAAACTCAACTTATGTTATAAAGTTTTTCCTATTGTTAAATGTTATGAACTAAGGATTTTGACTTCTCTTGTTATTTTTAAGACAAACTTTCACAACAAAAATTTCATAAAAAAAGGCTTTGTCCATTGTAAACAGTCACAGTCACTTAAATGCCAAGAACAGTAAAAAACCCCATAAATTTAGTTTAATTTAGCTTTAAGATAGACAATCAGTGACAAAAGGTTTTTGGACAGTGATATAATATATACATATCTCTGCATTTCCAAATACTGTTCAGCATAAAACCACTATCCCTCCCTCCCCCACCCTAAACAATGTTGGGTGGCTGGCAAGGAACATTTCGTGCAGGTATTTCCACACACAACATTGAATGGGGGGTGTGGGGGGTCGATTATGTTGTAAATGTACGCTCTTTTGCTATTTTCTCCAAAGTGTTTTGTCACTGATTGTCAGAAACGTTATTCTAAGCCAAATTAGAATTTCAGTTATTGAAGCTAGAGTTACTTGTATTTTATAGTATTACCGATGGTGTTTACAAATATTATAGATGCCGTGATTTGGTGAGCGTATACATGGTTAATTTACGCATACATTGTATGTCATTATTCTAGTTTAATCATAATGCATTTATGCATGTTTCCAGAACTACTCAAACTTTGGGAACTTCGTAGTTTTGAACTGCAAGCGAAACTAGTAGAGCAATCTGGAATTTAGGGCTAGTAAACACGTTCGGAAGCCAATGCAATTATCTTTAAGTGCTTATTACACATAACTTTTGTGGAGAATATAACATCATCGTCAACATCCAGATTAATCTCAAAGCTGTAGTATTATAAAAAATATCTAAATCATCAGAGTCTCTTATCTGAGAGGAAAAGTTCAGTGCAAGCAAGATTTGAAAACATCAAGAAAATTGGTAGAGCAAAGACGCTGTCAGATAGAGATTAGAGAAAATTAATAAGAATAATAAAAATTCTTCGTGATGAAAACCCAAATTTTACTGTTAAGTGCTTGGTTGCACGCTGCAGGCTGCTGTCATGTCATAGTTCCTATAGGACATTTTATCGTGAGGCGAAAGCAGCTGGATTTGATTATTTACCTGCGCGTATAAAGGGGGTTTTAACAAGCCGTGATCGCACAAAAAGAAAGGCGTTTGCACAACAATGCAAGAAGATTCTTTCCACAAAGCCCGAATTCGTCTGGCGAAATATTGCCTTCTATTCAGACGGGTTTCTTCTGTTTATAAGACACAGCCTCTTAGTGACGCTTTAGCCCCTAGAGGGTGTGTATATGGAGACAATTTAACACTACAGTTATAAAAACTTTATATGATATTTATGTAGATTACATATATAAATAATATTATCACAAGCATGCCTACGCGAATGCATGCTGTATTGCAGGCTCACAGCTTTAGAATAAAATACTGAGAAAGTTACGATGACAACGGATTGTATATCATATTTCCGTATCAACGAATCCCACACTTGCTCGCATAATAATTTCCATATTTTCTCACATGTATATGATCGTTGTTGGAAATTTAAATGCACAGTTGCATGCATAAGAAATAAATTAATATTTTGGCTTCAAATATGCACGCGTTTCATTATAAAATACAGAGAAAATGGGTTAAAAGTCGACGATTCCCACTTTTCCATTTACTAATTATGATGTCATATTTCATTATACTATAAATAGTGGGAATCGTCAACGAAAATCGGAATTTTATTGAATCAAATTGATTTTGCTTGAAGTTATCCACATAATCAATTCCTTTGACATAAGTACAATAAGCTAAGAGAGAAAAAAAAGCAAGAATTGTTGGACTTAATCGCCTTTTCTACATGAAATGTGCCTGGGATTCGTGTGGGATTCGTTGACGTGTCATAAGCTAATTAGTTAGTGATGACCAGAATACATATTTGTTAACACCTTAAGTGGGCTGTCTCACTAAGAACCATGCAGAGCGTTTCAGGTTGAAAATTAGATTTCCTTTAAATTTTTACCATGAACTACCTTTATCCTAAAAGGTATTAAACTAATATTAGAAATTCTAAATTTTTCTTTATTTTTGAGTTATGACGAATTTTTGTCTGGACGTCAGCGACACTGAAATTTGACCCCGAAAACGGCGGTCAAATGTGTGTTATATTGTGCATCATAACTCGGAAAGTTTCGCGTCAAATTAAAAACTTTTTCAGCGTATTGAGACATATTCTTCTTTTAGAATGTTGAATGAATTTGAATGTACATCTTATTTTAAGCCTACTAGTCTCCATCCAAGGAAGTCGGTATTTGCGTTCGCCGAACAACTAATGATTAGGTACAAAATTCAAACTAAAAATTCTCAAAAGTGCAACCTACCTGGTGACTAAAACACTTTTAGGGTTAAAGTAGAATATTTAAAGTTATGTTATTCGCAATAAAACTTGTCGGCAAAAGGAATATGAAGGAGTGTAAAATTCATAAATTATGGCTATAAATAGCTCTATTGTTTACCTTTGTGATAACCGAAAACACGTTGAACGTTACTCACGGAGCTTTTATAAATTTATATCAGCAATTGCCAATTATTATAAATATAAAATAGTGTTTATAAGTTCTTATATTTGAATACAAACACCGCCTTAAAATGGATTTGCACGCCAACATAATGTACAATCATAGGTAGCCCAACAATCCGCACGCCGTGACGTATGATGCGGTAGTATAATATCCTAAGGTTGGCAAGTAAATAATATCATGACTCGCCACAGCTTAAACAAGTCGAAAAAAACGTCTTGTGAACAAAGTACGCTAAAAAATAGCAGCCTCTACTTGTAGGATAGTTCACTAAATATGTACAACGTTTTTTTGCAACAACACGAGTTTATAAGACGAAAAAATACGAAAATTTTCTTTGAATTTGCCGTGTCTCGATGCGGGATGCCTGTTGCCATCATAGGTTTCCCGAAAAGGTCTTTTATTAAAAAAAATCCATACAATTTGCTTTAAAATGCAATGCTTCAATGTACAGTAAAACCTCTATATTTTGTATTACATGAAGTACGTGCAACATCACAATAGCGTTGTGTCATTATGTAATATATATCCCCAAGGTTGGCAAGTAAATACAAATTTAAAACTGTATACACAAATTTAATGACGAAAAACTCGTACATAAACATCGAAATTCACTTAAAAAACTAACTCACTATGGTAAGAAATAACTGTAATACTTTTATATTGTGTTTTTTCACTTTTAAACGAGTTAATTTTGCGAAAATTCCGAGGAAAATTCATCAAATTCGTAACTCAATTTGATCAAAACTATCAAAATTATGCGGGATGATGGCTCCCGGCGTTACGTCACAAAATAAAGCTCTCTGATTCGCTGGGAAATTTCAGCCAGCCAATCGGAGAGTTTTTTGAAATTTTAAACATTTTCAGCAAATCAGAGAGCTTTATTTTGTGACGTAACGCCGGGAGCAGTCATCCCGCATAGTTTTGCCCAAATTGAGCCATTTTCCTCGGCATTTTCGCAAAATTAACTCGTTTAAAAGTGATGAGAGAAGAAAAAAACACAATATAGAAGTATTACAGTTATTTCTTACCATAGTGAGTTAGTTTTTTTAATGAATTTCGATGTTTATGTACGAGTTTTTTCGTCATTAAGTTTGTGTATACAGTTTTAAATATGTATTTACTTGCCAACCTTGGGGATATATATTACATAATGACACAATGCTATTGTGATGTTACACGTACTTCATGTAATACAAAATATAGAGGTTTTACTGTACATTGAAGCATTGCTTGTCAAAGCATTGCATTTTAAAGCAAATTGTATAGATTTTTTTAAATAAAAGACCTTTTCGGGAGACCTATGGTACAATATAGTATATTATCGTTGTTTAATATGTACTGACGAGTGTGCCGTAAATATATACACGCTATATTATGAAAGCAACAATATACTAAACTTTATAGTTAACTTGCTACCTGGATAGTTATTTTTCGTGTGTTAATCCTTCAACAAACAATTTAATCTCGCAAATTTGATCTTTATCAAACGTTCGGGAGTTGTCGAAAAAATTTCGAGGTTTAATAGTAAATTGTGTTACTGTAGTCTGTAAGCCAAGGGGATTGCGTCTGTAGCCAATTTTAAGTTTCTCTAATTTATAAAATAATAATAAAAAACCACGACAATAATAGCAGAAAATACTAGCAGACGCAATGTATAGAAGCTGTTTTTGTTCTTCAATGCGCCATTGTTAAAAATAATTATTGGAGTGTTTTTTAAACTTTCTTCTTAAATAATATCAATGGACAATGACAGTGTTCCTTTACTTCTTCAAGTGTTGTAATTAGTACTTTAATGACGCAGATGAAACAGGAGATAACTATCGTAAGTTTACATGTTCTTCATGAAGGAGAATGCGTAAGTTTCGTGTTCTACATTTTGAGGCGAACGCACAAAGAGAAATGCTTGCTGACAACTTGTGGAAAATGCTTGCTGATCGACGTATGCCATTGGCTGTATACCACAACGCGTATGATTTATCATTTATGTGACATGTACAAACAGAAGAGCTTATCTGTTTTTAAAATAACGATGCTGAAAGAAATTTGTGCGCATTTTGAACTTCAGTTCAAATCAAATAAAAAACAGAC